AAATCAGACAAATGTCTTTTGTCCAAAAGCAAATTTTCAAATCTTGAAAATTTCGGATCAATATCAACACTTGTTATTGGAACATATTCACGATATAAAGTTCAATACATAACGTACAGTAAACTGTAAAGAAAAAGAAATAATTCGAGTGCAAAATGTTTCTAACAAAATATCTATCAGAATTGATAAAAAAATGACTAAAAAAAGAAAAAAAAATTCTAAAAGATAATGCGTAATCCTAGTTGAGGAATACCCCAAAAATTAAGAAAAATGCCCTATTATAATTATTATTTATTGTAATAGAACATTGTAATGTATTACATATTATAGGCATTATATATTTCAGCGTTTTCAAAATTTCCTTAATTTCATAAATTTAATGCTTTAATAATTCTCTAATAATAATAATGAAATTAAACCAATTGATTAATTTTTATAACATTCAATACAAAACGAAAATAAATACTTTGATTTTTGTCTAAAGAATTAATGTAACAAGAATTAATGTATTAATTTTTTTAATTTAATACAAATGTATAACTCATTATTTCACTATCACGACTAAATCAAATTACAAAATATATTTTTAACTCTATTTTTCTGCAAGCTACTTTATTTGTAAGCAACTTTTTTTACTCGTAAAACTTTTTCGGTTGCAGAGTTATATAAAATTCTAGAGATCCTTTCACTGATTAAGCTGTAGCCATATTATTTAAAATTTAATATTAATAATGCTGGGTAGGCTTTCTTTTCGGCTAAATTATCTATCGATAAATCGCCAACTTTGGATCTCTTCCTACATTCCTAAGTGTCCATTAAACACTATATTCATTCACTGGTAATTTAAAATGTTTGGCGTTAGGACTGAGGGGCTTTTGGATGTTTGATTTCCCCTCAGTTTGACTGTTAAAAGTTGTTAAAAACTGTCGTAAAATATGGAGCTGTTTCGGTAAAGAGATGTTGCTTTATTTTTATTTTGTTATAATAAATGTGGCCATGCTTTTTTTTGTTCAACTTTAAAAATTCTCCATGATAAAATCAAGTAACTTTTGTTTGAAATATCTCTGCAGTAATCCCTCTTTCTCTACAGTACTTGGAATTTACACCTTTACTACAATCATGATTCCATACCAATAAAGGAAAAAATGACAATAAAATGAAAAAATACCTTTATCGTTAATTTTTTAACCCAGATTATAAGACTTTACTTTAGACTTTTTGAAACTAATGTCGTTAAAGAACAAGCACGTAGCTCCGAAAAGTATGCTTGCGTGTATGCGTGCTTGAAATTATACTAAAAGTAGAGAAAAAACGAGTGATCAACCATAATGACATATTTATAGATTGTACTTCAAATGCAGAACATGCAAACACTGATAACAGTGCGTGAAGGGATCTCGGTGTTTTGTCATTTTGACGCTAGAAGACATGTAATGTTTTGTTTTTTATTTCGTGACATTGTTGATTCGATTTAAACCAAAACTAGCTGTAATTTTACCAGTTTTATAAAATGTTCTACTGCTTATTCATTTCAAATGAAAAGAAGTATAAATAATTTGCTATAAACATAACTTTTTTTCTAGATTGTGTCAACTAAGACACATTTTAAAGGATTGGTTGAAACAAAAGTTATGAATGTTTCTTGAAATATGTCATTTACTACTAGCCAGGGAAAATGAATGGTGAAATTACATTTAAATTTGTTTATGAATACGAGTTTGATATAGTGTCGGGACTTGGCTTAACTGTTTATAAACTTATGATTCCATTAATAAATAACAAAATCAGTAAAAAAAAAGACAAGGAAGCAAAATGCAAATTTATTAACATCGTAAATTATTAATGTTATTTTAACTCAATCTTATTTTCTTGAAAAATAGTCTTTATGTGTATCATAAAAACATCATTTAAAATTAATTGAATGAAACTAAACTTCTAAACTTCAGATTACACTTTCAGAATTGTCATTCTAAAATTACAGTAAAATAACAGTCAGCAGTCTGTCTATTCAATTATCCGTAAAGTTCACGGTAAAGAAATTTTTTTACCTTTACGGTTTAGAAACCGCTTACAACTAGTATGGTTAAAAAGCCATAAATGCAAAACTATGTGGTTTCTTAACCATTTACAGCTAGTATGGTTTCAAAACCGTAAAAAATTGTAGTTTAATCAGCTTATCTGGTTGTTTTACCTATCATAAGAGATGGAAAATACTGCACCATTTTGCGTTAAGGAGCTGTATGGTGCTGCCATTTATGCATGGGGAGAGTCTTGTATTCTAATATAGTCCAGGTTCGCAAATTGGGAAGTGCAGGACAATGCAAACTCTTCATGTGTTGAAGGGAATAGAGAAAATATTGCGGTGTCAAGAATGGGACTTGAACTCTCGTTTTGTCAGTCATTATATTGACAGCCTTCTAGGCTATAATATGTACCTAACTGCAAGGAGCTAAGTGACTTCATAAGGTGGGTCTGGTTGGTGAGATAAAATTGTAGTTGTTTAACCTTATTAGCTGAAAGAAGTTAATAAACTGTTTTTCTCACAGTTAGCAGTTTGAATACCGTCTTATTTATTGTTATTTCACTGTTTTGCTTAAATATAGTAAAATAACAATTAAATAAGTTGGTATTTAACCATTTTTCTGAGAAACTTCTAACAGTATAGAAGGGAATCTTTTAAATAGAAAATAGTAAGAAATTAAAATGCGCACCAAATCGTTTAATGTTATTTCTTAATAATTCTTTGGTAAATAGTTATTTACTGAAATATCTTATTTATGATAGATTAAAAAAAATTCTGAAGAAAATTATAGTTGATTCTTAATTTTAACAATTTTATGACACTTTTGATATGGCAAACATTTGAGACAGATATAGTGATTAAGATTTCAGAGAGTTTGTGTAATAATTTCTCTTCGAAACACAATTTTCTTATTAAATAGCAAAGGAAGAAACAGTTTTTTTTGCAGGAAAAATTATATGTAGAAGGATGTGTTCGAAACACTTATACTGAAAAAAATTCCGGATAAAATTGCGATATGAAGTACCGGCTCTTTGAGGGCATTATGCTAAAATCTATTTAAACGTAAAATCCATTTTTTCAGTAAAATATTGTACTGCAATTTTTACAGTTATATTTGTTTAACTAGAGTGATTCAATGATGATAAGGTAATTATTACTGTAATATTACTGTAAAAATTACAGTACACCAGATTTTTTATTCTGTAATATGTTTCGGAAATAATAGACGTTACGCTAAAATGTACCGGCACCCTGAGTGCTGGTACTTTTTACCGTAATCTAATCCGCAATTCTTTGCAATGTAGTTGGTTAAGAAATCGTTATAAAATAATCGTAATTATCGTAATAAAAGTAATATTTGTTGTTAAATAGTTATAGAGAGAGATATAAGAACTAGCAAATCAAATGCTTATTTTTTCTTTTATAACCATATTCAATTTGCATTTCTGTGCTACCTATCTAAGGTTATGAAAAAATACATTAAAATAGAAAGTACAATAACAAAAGTAAAGGTTTTTAAGCTTTCTAAAGTTTATATCATCTCTCAGCATATTAATGAAATATTTTTGATAAAGTTTGTACTAACTTTTCATAACTTTATGGTTTAAGTTACTTAAATTACAGCTAAATGGTGAACCAAGTTTTTGGAGAGGATACTTTGAGCAATTTTGAATTACAATAATTCTTAAGCTATGGTTTCTCAAAAATCTGTGGTTGGTTTTTCACATGTTGGGTGAATAAGCGTGAAAAGATTTTATGTATATTAATATCATATCTTTAATTATACGATAGTAATGAACTTTTTTAATCAAATAAGGTAAATTACTGTAATCTAAAAAAAGAATTATCGTCCATAACTGGCACAGTAGTAGGTCTCAATTACCAGTAAGCACGAAATCTTTTTCTGAATTATATATGTGCGTGATTCTGACGATGAGGAAAGAACTATCATTTGTTTTATCCTAGTCTTCTTCTGGAAAATATTTTGCTTTTATCCTACTCATTCATCGATTAATGATGCAATACTGTCATATTTCATTGTTCAAATTTTTTTTGAGTATGTAAGGTATAGATCAATACAAGAAATAATGATTTGAAATAGAACAAAAAGTATGCAACTTAAAACGAAACCTATTTTTAAATCTAAATAGAATTTTGGATATGTTTAAGTAGTTTGAAATGTCATAGGCATTTGTTTTTTTAGTAGAGCTATTCTTAGAGGAAAACATTGAATTTTATCAAGAATAAGTCATAGTTTTTTCGGAATTTCATTTTATTATGCCTCACATATATATTAGTATTATATATTTTTTCGCAATTAAATATCATGTATATTCATTTAACCATTTAAAAAAAATCAATGATTATGTTTAGGAAAATGCAACATGCACTCAATGTATTTAAAAAACGCTAACTGATTTATTAGATGGAATAAATATATTTTTATAATTTGAGATTAATTAATATTATATATAAATGAAACTATTTTTTAGTCTAAACGCAACTATTTTTTATTTCCTTTTAATATAACTATTATTATAATTTGAATTTCTCTTGCCGATTTATTAAGAGTATATTTTAAAAAGGGTAAGGCTAATTAAAATGACTTTTTTTTTTAAATGGCGGGCACTTGGGGGTTATCCCATTGGCCACAGGAATGCCAGAACTGCTACTCTCTTCTCGTTACCCAGTTGGCACCTGTGGCGAAGCCACGGCGGTGGAGAAGCGTCGCCTACATCACACAACCACAAACCCGTTTATAGGGCCGGTCACATTCACACACAAAGGAGAAAGGACATAGAACACAGAGAGAAAGAAACATACATGCCCTGATCAGGATTCGAACCCGCGACCAGCTGCTCCACAGTCAGGCACGTTAACCACTCGACCACCAGGTCGGCTTAATTAAAATAATAATGTACTACATATTGCACTGGTGTTAATTTTCTTTAAATTTTGAGATAAATTTTACGAAATAGCAATTTTGTAAAAGTTTTATTATTATTAGATTTTATAATACAAATATGATATATGTATATTCAGTCTGTATGCAGATGTAATTTTTACAGATTTGTAATCAATATATTAAAAGACAACAATGGCTGCCTTCTTGACAATCGAGTTGACCAAAATGTTGTACATTGCGACACTCTTCTGCTTGTCCACAACGACCCCCATGTTCTCGACATTCAGTTACACCTCTTGGTACTAAAAAAACAAGAACATGACATTTTGTTTCATTATAAATATTGCAACAGGTTTACATAGCACAATTAATTAACGCAGTAGAAGAACATGTTTGGTTATAATTCATAACAGCATCAGAAAAATGCTAACCAAGTATTATTTGTCCGTTACAAGAAAAAAATATACTTATGACTTTGAGCTTAACATAATCTTAGTTGAAAATATGCGTGTTTTCAAGAAAACGCTTTGATAGAGTGATTCACTTAGTACAACGATTACAAACTTGGAGAACATATAGAGCACATCATAAGGATTGAATTGCAACTCATGGATGGAAATATCATCATACGCCGTTAGGGGCACATCATATTGTGAACAAGCTGCTCGTGTACGTTTTAACTCATACTTTTATGTATTTAAATTATTGTTATTTTGTGCTAATTGTATGTTTTCTAATAATTACTGTTTAAAATTGCGAAGCCAATTTGTGTCACGAATTTGATAGCTAAATATGGAAGACGGCTGTTTCTGAGCCTATATGAATGAAATTTTAAACAATAATTATTAGAAAACATAAAATAAGTTTATTTAAACAATGAACAATATCGATTAAACTGCACGTGAGCAGCTGCTTCATAATACGAAAGCATCTTCACCGAACTAAGATGACAAGTTCGGCCAAGAATTGCTTATCAATCCTTATAATGTTCCCTACTTTCAACAGAATCACCATATATATTCCATGTCTACTCAAACACACAAATAAATAAGTCACCGTTCCGGCTGAACATAGCCTGATAATTATAATATGAAAATTAAGCTTTTCTCAGTATCATCAAGTGTTGAAAATCTCAGTAAGCATTTCCTTCAATAGTCTCCATTCATTTGAATATTGTAAATCAGTTTAGTTTATTAAATTTTTTCCCAACGGCTTATAAATTTCATCCCAACAAATTTAAACTTGCAAATTAACTGTCTCAGATTTCTTAGCCAAAATATCATATAATCTTTTTTGCTAAAATGAAATGAAAATAAAGAAGAAAAAAAACGCCATGACCTGTTTTTGATCGAGCAAAGTGCACGATTACGATCACTTTTGCCTGACTCAAATTTACAATTTTTAAACTGCTATTTTTGAATTTTATATTTAGTATAAATGTAGTTCCGATAATTTAACAAATATTTTAGTAACTAATTAGACTGTTTTTCTTGTAATTAAGAAATTCCAAAATAAATTTTTACTTGTAATTAGAGTGTCAGAAAAATATATTATAGAGACACCAGTGCATCTGTGTCAAAGGGCTTAGGGGCCCATACTTTGGTCCGATCTCCTGAGAGAATTATTTGGGACCATATTTTCCAGATTGCGGCAACCCCTTATATTTGAAGGTAAGTAATCTAAATCTGCCAAAAAAGAATAGGTTTATGCAGAGAATGTGGGATTTTTTGGATCTGATTTTGTTAATTAAAATATTGTCTGCACTAATTAATTGTCTTATTTGAGGTGACCCCCTCGAAACATTAAGATTAAGTATTAATACATAAAATCCGATAATTAGATCAAAAGTTATTCAGAGTGATTCGTTTACTTTTCCACGCACTCTAAGTTTTTATACTTTAATAAGGAGAAGAGATAATTGACATATCATAAAATATATTCAGATTCATTTATTTATTTAATTCTTTTATATAATTCATTAATATAGTTTAATTATGGCTTTTTCATGCCTTTAAAAAATGTATTTATTTGCACCTGCTGAATTCATTTAGACTTCGTGTACTAAAATTATTTACACTGGTCTTGAATTTATTCAGAGTTACAGAGATTATTTAGCTTCGTGTGTATTCAACTTGGAATAGGAACTAATCTATCTTAAGTTTATATTTTCTTTAAATCTCTTTCTCCCAGTAGAGTTTCAAGAGGTTGTTTTGCAAAGTGTACCAGACACTTATAAAGCGTGGAGATTATTTTCCCTCCAGCTCCTTAAGAAGGCATTAATTTTGGAAAGCACGAAACGTCATCTAATAAATTTTCAAGAAGAGGATGAAGAGCTATTATCAAAACGATTAACAACTTGGGTTTCGCCAAGTAACATCTTTCATGCTGGTTGAACTTGATTCTCGTTAAAACTTCGACAAATAAGCTCAAATATTGACTTTATAACAAGTTAAATTATCCTTAATTGTTATGAAATATATCAATGGTAACATGCTTAATTGTGTTGGGATTTAAAAAAAGTAAAAAATGATTATTAAATAATATCGTTTTGCCTAGCGAAAATTATTTGAAATCAATATGTAATGTAACATTCTGTATGAAAGTAAGTTGTCCTATTAGATATAATTTATTAGGATTGAATTAATTTAATATAATTCTTCTACTCTTATATATTTATCTAGAAGAGAATTTAATATTATTATATATTATTATCTTAAATTAAAATATAAGACATACCCGTCATTGTAAAATTATCAATAAATTAATATGAACAGTGAGAAAAAGAATAAAAGTATCACTTCGAATAATTATCCCAGATAGCTGTGTAAGGTTGACTTTAATGGTGGCAGCAACCTTTTTCACGAAGCTCAACAAGGTTTATAAATGATTAGCAAATAAACCAGGTAAACTTTAAAAAATGTTAAATTTAATTATGCTAATTTAAGTAGGTTCGCATTAAGCTCGCATAAACAACCCTTTTATGTAGAGATTGAATCTTTATAAAAAAAACCCAGAAAAACCCTTTGAGATTGAGAGTGAATTATCATTCACAAATCAATAGTAGAAAGTGTTCTCAAACCGAGAATAAATTCACCTTCTCTAGGTTTATTTTAGATATTACGAATATCGCTGAAACAAGGTTTACTTGCGCAGGCTTTCATATACACTGTTTAACACTTTAAAAGTGAAGGTTAGTCTGATCATTAAGTTTTCGATTCAAACAAAATATTACCCCGGAAAGCCTTGGCAAGGCGAGAATTGGAAAGATTAAAAAAGCTAAATCAAGGTTAACTGCAAAAGCAAAAATATGAGTTTTTTTTTCATTCTCTATAAAAACAAGCTTGTTATACTAATATCTCTACTAAGTTTAAAAGAGGATTAATTAGTCAACCTTTCCATGCCAACCAAATGAAAATGAAAATATAACATATGCAGTAAGGTAATATAACATTTGCTGTCTGCCATCTGGGGGTGTTATACTGATCGGATTTCCACAAACTAAGGACCGATCTCAATTGTTTAAAAAATGAATTTAAATATGCTAAGTAATTAACTCTAACTATTAAGGAATTTATGAATCACTCATAAAAACCTACTTTTCCTATTAAATTTAGGAGAGTGGGTAAATGTTTGGGCCCCTTAATCTTGATTTCACTTTTTACGTATTTCGCCATATCTCGGGAATCTAAGTGAATCGAAAAATTTTTGCACTTAATTGTATAAGTCGCTTTCCTAAAGATCCATATGAAAAAATAATTTTCAATAAATAAATATTTTTTTGCTTTTTTATTTAATAATGGTCAAAATAGTTTTGAATTGAAATGTAAAAGAAATATTTTGGTTTAAACTTTATGATTCTAAATTACTCAATACAATATTTGAACGACATTATTATTAGTTGAATGGCTCTTAGTAAACAAATTTAAAAATCATATCTTTTTTTAAATTTTATAACTTTTATACATTTATTCAGTGTTTAAATCCATTGATTAGGAAAAAAGTTATTCAGGACAAAGTATTTTTTGTGTAGCTCACTGAATACTTAAAAGAAAAAATACTTGAAGTCTAATGCCTTTTACATTGTATGACGGGATGGTGCATCATTAAGTGCTTCCAAGAAAATACATGGTCTCAATTTCTGGTGATGAATGAGTAAGTACTTATGTTCATTTTGTTTTATATTGCATTTCCTAATTAGCTATGTTGTCTCTACGCTTCATTTAGCTTAAGGATTTCAACTAAATTCGTATCCTTAAAAAGTTAAGTTATTAATTTCCACAATTTGGTCAATTTGGTAAGCATTTCACAAGAAACAGTTTCGTTAAAACTTTCTTGAATTTTAAGTACGCATTTTTTTATCGTATGAAACTATCATTTTATATGTTTGCAGAATTATTGTATCAAGTAAGATTGTCATGAAATAGAGCACTTTTTTAATAATTACTGATTTTTTTGGCGTTCCCAGAAATCAGGGAACACAATAAATTTTACCATATTCAGGTAGTTTTAAGCATATACTTTCTTTCAATGAATGTTTGTTTATTCTAGCGTGCATATTATTTTATAAATGCAATTATTGGAATCAAAATTTGATCTCAAGTTATTATCTAGCATTTATGTAAAAATATGTAATTATAATTTTGTAATAATGCGTAAAGCTTTATTTTCTGTGATTGTGTAGANTATATATATATATTCTAAACACTAATAACACGCAAAATCTCTCTCAATGCCATATTAATTTAAGAGGAATCATTTAAAATCATGTATTAATATTTAACACAAACTGTCTGTCATACAGAGAACACAATTTATTGAACAGAAATCTAGTTTAATAGATTTCTAAATTTTACTTGTCATCTGCTGATTTGGCAGTTTGGAAGCCATCAACGACTGATTAATAAAACAAGGATTCAATTTGTCATAAAATATCAAGGTTAATTTCTATATATCGAGAGATTGAAGAATTGTTATATCATTCAAAATGTATGACACATTTCAAATAAATAGCATTATGAGTTAATTATACGTGTTCAAGAATAAAATACCAGTATTATAACGATATAAAATTATTTCATTAAACAATGCTCCACCGTAAGCATTAAAAATTGAAATGTATCTAAAAATGCCAATGAAATTGACGAATGTACTCAAAATCTTAATGAGTTTTCGTTTTATTCTGTCAATAAATGTTTAAAGCCCAAAAATGATATATGCGTGAAGAACCTGCTCTTTCTCTATATTGAAGCAAAAATAAACATTTTTCAAAAATCAAATATTTGAACTTAACAAGATTTTTTTAATCAAAAAAAATCTTTTAATGCGAAATTCGAATTTAATATAACAATTAAATAACGATCAACCATTAAGTTAATTAACAGATTAAACTTATTGGTTTATAATATACTTATTGAATATAATAATTTGATTGATTAATTAAGTAATTTGATAAACAGAACTTATTACATGTAATGAATTCCACACACTTTTTTCCTAATTAAAAAATAAATTCTAAGCATACCTTCAAAACAAAGTAGTTAATCATATAAAATTTGAAATAAGGCAGTCTTTTTTGGTGATGGCGACATTGAATTATTTGTAATCTAATTTACGTGTTTAATATTTTATATTTATATTTGAAATAAAGTGTATTGAGCCTGAAAATGTCAAGGAGTGTTATGTGTGTCTAGTAACTAATTTGTAATATAGATGGCAAATAATACGATTATTGTGCGATAATTAGATGAAAATTAACCACTATAATAAATTCATCATATTTGTATTAGTCAATCAGTTTCGCAGTTTTTGGTACACTATTGGTAAAAGTTGTTCAACTTTCAAATAAATGTACCAGAACTTAATATAACATAGAATACATGAAAAGTTTAAAATAAATGAAGCACTTGAAGAAATACAGTGCAAAGTCCCTTTTTTTCAATCATTACTGTTTTTTACCTAACTGCTCCTTAGTATTCCTTTCAAATGGTTACATATTAGTTCTCCCTAGATAACAGAGTAATAAACAGAAACAATTTTCTTTATGTGGAAATTATAAATTCTTTCACCTAGAAACTCTCTCCTGAACCATCCCCAAGTGTCTCAAACAGTTTTTTTTTAATCTTTGTGTAAGAAAGGAACAAAGATTTTGTAAGAAACATTTTTAAGTGGAGTTCAAAGAAAAATTTAACTTCATCGAATATTCAAGAAAAATGTATTAAGTTAGATGTCACTAATTATACTGACGGATTTTAAAATTTTATAATAGGAAAACGTTTACGGTTAATAAAATCCTTTCAGAAAATTCATGTGATAGGGCATAATTTTTTCTCCCCAAGTCTCTGTTTTTAATTCACAAATTTTGCAATAGATGGCTCTGCAGGGAATAAACATGTTAGTAAAGCAACTTTGAAAAACAACAGAAAATCACATCACAATTCCCTCAACACTTCATTCAGTAATCAAATCACACACTTTCACTAAATGATATTTTCGAAACATCCTTTAACAGTCACAACTCCGAGATTGTAACTGGGAGGAAAATTTTAATGCCTCAAAACACTGTAAAAAAGTGGTAGCAGAAGCTTTGACAGCCATCTGTGGAAGAAATTTTAAAATAAAACAATAAAATCTTTGAGAAAAAAACTTATGCGCATTCATATAAATTTGCAGCAAGAATTATTTTTGTAACCTTAACTTTTTTCCTATTTGAAAAAGATCAGTCCATTTTAGGACAGCTTGTTTAATTATTTTGTTTTTTAACAAACTCAGTAATAAATTAAGATCCTAAAAAAACTTTTGTGTAATTTGATACTTCAAATAAATACAGTTAGCTCCCGTTAAATAATTAGAAAACGTGTGGAATAATGAATTAAAAAAGGGTCACCTTTTTTTATTGTTGTAGTTGCAATACTTTGTCCATTTTAACCCAAAACTTCTTAATAAAATCTCATTTGCAAGCATTAAGTCTTCTTAAATGAGCTGCTTAATTTAAGGTTGTACTTTATATGACTGTTGCCAAGTATTTCTTCTACCGTGATAATAATAACAAAATCAGATTAAGCTAATTGCAAATGACTGTGACTTTTTATTATGCCTGTTTAATAAAAGGCAATTAATTTAGTTAATCGGCGAATTTTTACGATGGTTTTAGTAAGCACACCTCGATAAAATTGGCAAGAAAGAATTTCCGTTGTAAAGAAGTGCAATGTAAAATTTTAGTATCTGTTTGGCAAACCAGTTCATGTTAAATATCTAAATTACTACCTAATCATTGTGCCATTTTAATTTCTTAAAGAAAAGCTTTTTTATGCATTTTCTTTTTTGCCAAATAGCTTATGGAATTTTTACAATTTTTATTTAGAAGCACTTCAGGATTTCTTGACTTTATACATTAAAAATAAATTTTGGCAAATAATAGGTAATAACACCATTAAATGGAAAACATTTATAGCCAGTAAATGATAAATTATAAATTTCTATAAATGTATTCATTTATTCAGATTATTATTATATTCATTTACGTAGTTAGTTGATTTGTTAAGTGGGTATTCATTTGTTGCATTTTATAATGTTTTAAGCTCTTCTTATTGTTCACAAACATGCATCAGCGTAAACACAATTATTGCCACGACTATATATTTCAAATTTTTGTATAATTCATTGTATTTATTTATTTAGAGGAGAAAATCAGATTATTTACCACTATATATTTTTTAAAAAAGTTTCCCAAAATTTAACAAAAATGCGTCAAATTAGCTCCGAAACAAATAATAATCGAACTTAGAAATCCAATGGATTTAAAACTAAAACAGAATATACTCATTTTTGAGAAAAATGCACAGTCCCATAAATTTTAATGAGGAAGAACTGTGTGAAAGCGATACTTTTTGGCATCCGCCTGGATTCGAACCAAGGACCTCTGGGTTCGTAGCAGGATAATCTAACCGCCATAGCTGTTCACCTTGTGTTAACTTCTAATTTCAATGATACAAAAGGTTATAATTTAGAAAATATGATCGCAATTTCTCAGACAGGAGAGCGGAAATTTTAATTTTATTTTTTGCTTATTTCGCTGTATTTTTAAAATGTTTCTAGCGAATGGAATATATAAAATTTCCAAATTTTGGTGGTTAAAGCATCCTACAACAAACCCAGAGATCCTTGGTTCGACGCCTGACAATAGCTAACGAACGCCTCACTCGCAAATTGCTCCCTACACTTCACTTTTAAAAATGTGCATTTTGCTTACAATAAGTATATACTGTTTCAATTTAGAATACAAGGGGTTAATTAAATCAATAATTATTTCCTTCGGAGCTATTTCGACGAATTTTTGTTCAATTTTGAGAAACTCCTTTTACAGAATTATGTTTTTGGAATTTCCTGTTTCTCCACAAATTTTCTCTTTGAAGCTGCAGTTCTCCCAGCGATTATCCTAATATAAACATAAATGAGCAAAATGCTGTGCGAAAATCACGTATACAAAACATTGAAAATTTATATGAAAGAAACGGAAGTATTTAAATTCTATATGAACAAGACATTATCGATATTCTAGATCTTTTATTTACCAATTTTTTTCGAATTTTGTAACCTATTTATATTTCTGAGCAGAAACGCCTCAAGTAATAATTCATTATTGTAAAATTATTTCAGGAAAAATAGTTGTTTAATTTCTTACTTTCACTGCAACAAACTCCTCCTTCTGGCTCTTGTTCAGGACATAATCCAGTTTTATTATATCTTTTAATTTCTGGACAGGATGAACCTTCGGCGCAAACTCCTCCTTCAGACAAACAGGGAACTTCATTTCGTAGAATTTGACCTGAAAACAAAAGAAAGTGACTGAATTAGGCTTTATATAATTCAACATTACATTTCTAATACATCGAAGCGTGCAGAACATTTACCTACATTCAAAAATGAAAGTTTTTTTTTGTACAGTTAACTGACTTATAGAGTGAATTTTGAAGAAACCCGTGAATTCGGTTTAGTCGATAGTTATGAATTTACGATTATGCAAGTATCTTCTTTCTGTTTGAGTTTATTAGTTAATTGGGTAAAGATTTTGCTAAAAATTGAGAAATTAAATGTTCAATCTAGAACAATATGTTCCTAAATTCAAGCAATAGATCTCGTATCCATTTACTTAAATCGTATCCACCAAGTTTTCTAACTCGTTAGAAAGCTTGGTGGGTAGAGCATCCCAGTATGATCTCAGAAGTTCTTGGTTCGAATCCTTCCGGCAGCCAACAAATATTTCTCACTCCAAATCAGTTTTGAGATAATGTATTTTGGAATAGAATGTACGCTTTCCAATGGGGTGAACCAGGTTCGAATCCCAGCGATGGCTGGTTGATACGAATTCCCCATCCAGCTTGCACCGACCACAGTTTTGACAGAAAATATCCTCAGTTGTAGATGGATCATGAGTTAGAGCTCTCTTTCCGTAAGGCTAACCATGGGAGGTTTTCGTGATTTTCATCTCCATTTAACGTAAATGCTGGTTAGTTCCATCAAAAAATCTTCCACAAAGGCTAATTTCTCCCAATACTTGATCCAAGAGTTCTCTTGTCTTCTGGATTGGGTTCAAAATGACAAGGCTCCGGAGTTGAACATTAGTAGTCGTAAACTAAAAAAAATTGGGTCGGCTGCTCAACGTCGGTTATAATGATAAATTAAAATGTATTTTGCTCAAAAATGAGTATATGTTGCCCTTTGAATACATAGGTTTGTCAAATTCGACTATATTTTTTTTTAGCTTTTTTTTTTACACATTTTGAGAAAATATTTTTTTCTGTATAAGAAAGCTCGAAGTAGTAGTCTAAATTGCGGGTACTTTTTTTTAACTTCAACCCGTTTAAAAGAAAAAAGCATGTGCTATAAAAGAGATAAAGAGAATGATAATCAAAGCAATACGCTAAGTAACCGAGGGTATTGTAGCAAATTATTAGTAATTTTTATGTCACCAAGTATCTAAGTCTAATTTTAATAATTGTAACGCAACATGTGTATGATATTTCAAAGTAAAAAAAGAACACTTGCATACATTATAATATACATTTACGACTTTTGAAAACATTTTAAAATATGAGCTTAAAAAGTTATTTCATTATTGAAGTTTTCTTTCCTTATCTCTTCTTGAACAGTTTTCTGTAAATACAGTAAATAATTCATATCTTCATCAAAAAATCATGCTAACTTTTTTGATAAATTATAATCAAATGGAACAAAATCTGAGTTTTTATCTCAGTGAAAATATATTTTCTTTAAAGAATTTCTCTTGAAATTTTGTGCCAGCTAAATCCTTAAACTTTTTATCAATACATGTCATTCTATATTTTTTTACAGTAATTAAATGAAATTTCAGTCTCCTAACAAAAAATGCAAAATATTTCCAGAAAAAAATCTTAAAGATAAGAAAATTAAAACAAAGTGATGAAAATCTTAATTTTTCTTTTAGAGCATATATGAAAGAGAAGAAAGTAATATAAAAAAACAGAAATAAATATAGATGATAAGTGGACATGGAAAACACTTAAGCAATTCAACAACTAAACTCATGAACTGGCTTTATTAATTACAAAAATAGATAGAGATCATTTCTCTTCCACTGACAGAAGCTGTTCAAGTGACGGAAGAATTCATATTCATAAGCCAACTCTATCACCATAGCAACCAGCCTGAGAAGCCCAACAGGAGTAATGCAAAAAAGAAGAAAAAAAAATCTTTTAGACGAAGCAGGTAGAAGGTATAAAACTAAAAGAATGGCCTAAGAGTTTTTAAAGACAATTCTCAACTTTTTTTTTTCCAATTTAGTCTCCAATCTTCTTTTCCATTCTTTTTCTGAAACAAAAATGCCTCGATTCAGAATATTGTTTCTGTATATTCATAAGGGAATAAAGTCGTTTTCATATCTCTAAACTTGGAATTTAATCTTTAAAATAAAATTGATTGCGAATATATTTCATCGACTTGTAACAAGTACAGATGATATTCATATTCCATGTAAACTCAATTCAGTTTTTATCGCTTTTTAATCATATTCTAAGTTGAATTGGCAAATCTATGTAAATACTATTTTTAAAGAATTTTTTTAAAATAAATGCAATTCTAATATCGGAATGAAAAAGATTTAAAATTTGATAAATCTTCAAATAGAATAATTTTTTTAATTCAATTGATGGAAGATAATGCACTGAGGGGCGACTTATAACAACCTCCTCTATGTTTCATTTGACCACACTTTTCTTTCAACACAGCCTTGATTCTTTTTAAAGAGTTGCTGATAGGTCGTCGTTTGTGGCAACTTCCCAATAGTGTGAGATTGAATGATAGTAGATCTAGACGGCGAGTGGATCTTTTAACTTCATCTTATAATGCTCAATGGGATTGAGATCTGTGGATTGTGGCGGCCAACCCAACTAATTTCTTCGAAGCAATCCCTTAAAATTTCGGCATTGTGCACTTTTCTGGCGCAGTTGTAAATAAAAAGGTATGGAACTAAAATTACATTGTTCAACATGCCCAGGTATGTAAAAATTCTGACCTGGCATGTATTTTTTACCCTTTTCTTGCCCAGCTGGGTAACTCGATATTCCAACAGCGACAGTAAAATACCGATTAAACTTCCTCAACGTTTGACGAAAATCACTGAGATACCGAATGAGACGAATAAATGAAGCAGAGAAGAAAATCGATTATATTTGATAAGACCCAAATATTATTGACATAAATAAGAATTTATTAAACAAACTTAGCTTATTCTCTCGATTCAACTAATAATTCTTATTTTTTTTAAAAGAAAGTTAACACCATTAACTGCACATAAGAAAATTAATTAATGTGAAAGCATTTAACATTCTTTTTAACGATGTTGTAACATGTTGTAACATATGTTATAAAACAAAGTAACATGTTGAATGCATATACTTGCCGATAATACTTAATAATTCTAAGAAAATCACTTCTTCGTAAATAATGCTAAATATTTCTGATTTATACATAAATTAAAAGTACTGACGTAAATTCAATAGTGATGTAAAAATATGATTGTTAATACCTATTTTTTTCGACAGATTATGCATGTATATATTTTAATTAATATACAATTGAAAAAGATGTTCGGGTATGTCGAAGCTTCATGTGATTCAAGTAATCTGTAGGCTAACATGCCCCTGCAGGGTATGTAAGAATTATGAGATTTTTCAAGCATACCTCACTATTTTAAAAAAATCATCAGTTGTATTTTCCCAACATCAAAGTTTAGGCACAATCTTTTAGTCGGACTAGTATTCCCCCGAAATAAGGATCCTAAAGCGTATAAGTACTATAACAACCCTCTAGCGGTGATGGAGAGCAGTATCTCACTTATATGAAATTATGTGGTAGTCTTAATAATATGGCCGCTCAGTGTAAAAGATACAGGAAAATATTCTTAAATCCTGTGCATTACTGACGTAAGTATCAAAATTATATTCCAATAAGTGGATTTAAATGGTGTTTGCTGTCTTCATCTGGAATATGCTAAATTGAACGGCGTTTTGTTCATTTTCATAAACTACTAAATAGATTTCCAAAAACTATTTTTGTTTGATTTCTTCTTCAAGAATACTTTAAGTCAGAACTTTTTCGAAATTCAAAAATTTTCGGTTTTAAAATTAAAATTTAAAGTTTGAGAAATTCTTTTATAAAAAAGTGACTTCATCAAATTCTTAATAAAAAGAACTAAAAACGGCGTTAAAATGTGCAATGAACAATTTTCACCACGAGGAATGTGTTACTTTTTATGCAAAAAAGTAATCATACTGTTACAAATTTCTCGGTAAAAATGAAAAAATATTAGTTTTTCTTGTCGTTATTTTACCATATTCAACATAAAGAGTCAAGATGGTGTTCCTACTGTTAAGTGTGAAAAAAACGTTTATTGATTGTTCTTTCCTAATGCGATTAAACAACCGAAACTCTATCCGTGCCAACTAGGCCCACCCTATAGAACCATTTTGTTCCCTGGAGCTGGGTATTTACAGTAGCTGAGAGGAATAATCGGTCAATCTAATGACCGACTGAACAGGGGTTCGAATCGCAGCGTTGATACTACAATATTTCTTTCATTCTTTCAATATAGGAAGATTTTTCAATATCCTGCCCTCTTCAGACGGTGACTTCGGACTATTAGAATACGAAACTATCTTTCACTCAAAATAGCGCAGCACCCACAAAGCTCCAATATCCGTTTAAGTTTCATTTTAGAAACCGTGCTATTTGCAAATGATTACAAAACCGTATAGTTTTGTATTCACGGTCTTTTATCCATACCAGTTTTAAACGATTCAAAACCGTAAAGGTAAAAAAAAATGTTCCTAACCTAAAACTTTATGGTTAATAGGATGAACAGACTGCTGTCGGTTAGTTCACCGTAATTTCAGAATGAAAATTCTAACAGTGCAGTAGTTAGTAATTTTAAAGTATTGCTTTATTGAAATTTGGTTTTCGTTTTGCTCCTTCTTTAAAATTAATTATGGGCTGCATTGACTTACCTCCACAAGATACCAGAATTCTACCCTACATAAAATGAGTTTTGTAAATAATTTCTAAGTTATTCCTTTATGATGATAATGTTAAAGAGAAAAGCCTTTATGTAAGTTTAAATAACTCTTACTAATATTTAGATCATTCACGCCTGAATCATTGATTTAATGAATACAAGAAGAGCTGCTTAGATCTGATTTAAACATACCTCTCATAATAGGAAGCACTATTTGTGTTGTATACAAATAACCACGATTTATAGTATATATTGAATTATCCCCATCATTATTTTGG